AGTAAACCTGGTGTGGAGCCCAGGAATCTTCACTTTAACAAAGCCCTAGATCACACTTTGAAAAACGTGGCCTTAAAAATTACCTAGTCCCAGGGTATGAGCCTCAAATCTTTCAGGGGCCAAGTAGATTATGCATGTCTATGAAAGGGCAGGGTATAAGATAAAAGAGGAATGATCCTTACCAAATGGAACTGGAAAGCGTACGCCCTACATAGCTTCTTTTCTTTTTAAAAAAATTAAGTTATAACGCATTCTGAAACAATTTGCTAGACGACTAAATTTATCTTTGAGCCCAGAAAGGTCAAATGTTGCTCAGTGTTAATCCAGTCATGGTAGAGCTGGGCCCGGAGCCTCACTTTGTGAATGCTCTGCTCACCATGCCATGTTAGAGCCTCATGAGTGGAACTCAAGAGCTTTTTTCTTCTTTGGCCCAAGACTCAATCTCATACCCAGTTGGAGAAAAGCACAAGTAGTATTGAAAAAGCTCAGCTCAGAGGGTCACTCTAGCCCGAGCTGTCCCCGAAACAGAATTTTCTTAGAGCAAAGCAGCCTGGAGCTCACAAAGGAGTTCTTCACCCAGCGGTCCTGAGCGCCAAGACCCTCACACTGCAGACACATACCATCAATTATTTTGTGACAGAATTCAACACTATTTAAATGTTTATTTTCAAAGCAACCAGAAGCGGTTTGTATCCTTCCTGAGAGAACTATCCACTTGGTAATGGTAATCAATTACAAGGACTATCAGACTAAATTAGTCCTTAGAGATGTCCCCAATGTATAATCAAGTAGAAAAATAAAATTGCAATGAAAATGTAGGTAGTAAAGCAGTAGAAAGTATATATATATATATGTGTATATATATACACACACACACATACAGTGAAAAGAAAGAAAAATGTTTGGAAAGATATATACCTCTTAACAGTAAATTCCTTTGAAGAATGGAACTGGGAAGAAGAGAGCACTTTCTTTTTATTTTATATACCTCTAAATTTTTTTAAAACAACTAGAATGGGTCATTTTTGTACTTTTTTCCCCCCCTCAAAAATAAAATACAGATATTGGAAAGATGACAGTGACAATAGTGTAGTTAATCTCATCAAATCCCCACATAAAACCAAGAGAGAGAGAAACAGCAAAACCAAAACCTACGGACCACGTTTTGCAAAACTAGGTGACCAGGTATCTCAGTGAACCCCATATCCAAGCATATCACTAACAGCCACATCTGCACAATTTCAGGGTCTGTGTGGGAGAAAGCAGAGGAAGCAGCGGGACATCTGACAGACCCCCAAACTGGAAACCCCCAAATAAGCCACAGGAAAGTGAGGTGAGTCAATTTAAGAACAAGAGATTAAACTGGAGGAGTTTGGCCTAATCCTATTAGTGGGTGAATGCTCGGGGCTCTGCTAAAATCTGAAGTGGCGAGGGCAATCTCGCCCCTATAAACGCTTTTTCCCCCTATAAACTCTTGAAACCGACCAGCCAGGGCTCCATTCCGAGGCATGGCCACACACTGAGGGGAAACTTCCAGGTGTAGAATCAAAATTAAGCAGGCTTAAGATAATAGAGGCAAGGAAAAAAAAGGCCTGGATCAAGCAGGGGGAGGGAACAACCCCAGGAAATTGCAGAGAGGAGCCACCGTCCTTGAAAACACTGCGCACATATCCTAACATTTCAGGAAGATCAACAGCACGTAAAATAAGCAACAGAAAAATATCAAGGCTAAATCCAAGAAATGCAACAGATAACGCCTTAAGAGAAATAGAAGGTGGAAGAAAAGGAACATTTAAAAACCAAAAAGAAATAAAACAGATTAAACAGAAACTGACAAATACTGAAGATAAAATAAGAACATCCAGCATATGGGTAATGAGATATCTATACTCTCACTGCTGGGATAGATCCCAACAATATTGGGAACATAAATGTTTAAATAATTTTTAACTTTTTAGTTTAATATAAACTAAAAAAGATTAAGAGCTCATTCAGTGCTAATTTAGTTGTTTCACTAATCCCCCTTTCCTAGGAAAAGTATCCTCTAGCTGGCTACAAAAAAGAACACTCGGGCTGAAAAGAGTCAGTGGATCAGCACATCTTAGACTGTCGGGATCCCAGATATCTTGGATTGATCCAGATTTTATAGGTCCTGTAGTTTACAGAATTTGGGGAGCCCTCATTAAGAAAAAAATACAAAAATGTCTTACTTTGGTAAATTTTACAAAAACATATGGCAGTTCAAGGTACCACTTTTTTTAAATTGATGTAGTCCTTTTTGGTTGTACAAAGACTTTGGCCCCTTCCATCCACTATTATAGAACTTCTAGGTTCTCCAAGTCACCTATTTCAGAAAGTATTTTGCTATCCCATACTATCTCCTTTTGAAAAAAATATACATGGAATATTCAGGATATACTGAGAAGCTTAACTTAACAAAGATACTATTTCCTCTCTCACTGTCCCTCTCATCCAAATTCCTAGAGAAGGAAACCTGATTGGCTCAGCTAGGGTGAAGACCAACTTAATTATTACCATTTGTTTTGGGGGTAGGACAGGATGCTGCTCTGTGGTACAAAATCTGCTGGAGGGCCCCCTTTGGAGGTAAGATAGCCCATAAAAGCAGTCACTATGAACTGAGTAGACGCTCCAAGTGTTCTACTAAAGCTATTATTTATACTTATTTAATGAGTATCCATGTATATACATCCTGATAAACATTATCTGATTAATTTCTTAGGATAAATTCCTAAAGGTGGAGTTATTGGGCCCAAAAAGTAATAATCTGATTAAAGTTTTAAATTCGTGTTTTCAAATTGCTCTCCAAAGATTGACTATTTCACATTCCTACCAGCAGTACATAAAATGACCATTTGATGAAACACAACACAATTCTCAATATTGAATCTCATTTTTGAACACCTTTACCAATTTGATGTATAAAGGTGGTACCTCATTATTTTAATCTGTCTTTTCTCTTATAATCGGTAAAGCTGAATATTTTCATCTGCTTTTTAGATATCTTTATTTCTTCATTTTTGAAGAGCTTATTCATATGGATTAGCCATTTTTAAATAGGGCTGTTTTTTCATCTTAATAGTTTATAACACTTTACATAATAAAGAAATTAACTTTTTAACATATATATTGAAAACGTTTCTATTAATAATTTTATTTTGTTTATAGAGTGGTTTGTGTGTGTGGGGGGGGTGTACCTGATTAAATCTAGACGGATGCTTTTACCTAAATATTACTTGTCCTCAGACCAACTTTAATAATAGATTTTTGTAAGTACTTTGGAGAACAATAGATAAAATATTAACAACCGGGTCTTGAGTACTTAATGAGTATGAAGTGGCAGCAAGTACTCAGAGCAGCCTCTGTGATACAAACAGCTAATTTCACCCCCTTCCGTTCAGGACCGCAGGTCCGCCTGTGTCTCTTCTCACCTCGCTTTCTGCAGCTGGCCCTAAACTGTCTCTCCCTTGAGTGTCATCTAAGCCATCTTTCATCACTGCGCCTCCCCAAGTCCCCCTGATATACGAATTTTCCGTCACACTTCTGCTTAACCCCCTGTGATGGTGCCCAACTGCCTTCCTGATAAAATCCGAGCTCCCTAGCACAAGGCCCTTGCCCTGCTGCTTCCTCCCTGATTTCTCGGGCCTTCCTCCATCTCACGTCACACACACTCCAGCCCTAACAGGCTGACTATGGTCCTCCAAATGCACCCTGCTGCTTCACAGGTTTGCAAAAGCTACTCTTACTCCTTCTACGTGGAACCCCTTCCTCTCGGTCACCACTTGTAACTCTTCCTCATGTTTTCAGGCTCAGCCGTCTTTGCACATGGTCGGGCCTCTCTGCCTCTCTCCCGTTGCCTTAGGCACATGGCCTCTGCGCTCGCAGTGCTCCAGGCGTTTCTCTCTCTTAGCACTTCTGAGACTTTACTAGTCTGTGTCTTCCAAACAACTAAGTGTGGTGACAGCCCCCTCTTTCCCCATAATTCGAGGTCCTACACTGGGCCTGACACATCAGAGGCCATTAAGGTTTTGCCAGATAAATATATAGATGAATGAACATTTCCATGTTTTCTCAGGAAAAAGTGCAACAAAGCCAATATTCCACTAGCAAAGTTTTAAATAGAGATTAAACAATATAGTAGAGGACATTAGTAATAATTTAAAGAGTAGAACCACTTAGGATATTCAGTATTTGCTTTCCTGCCCTGTGCCTTAATTTCCACATTTTTAGGTCTAAAATAGTATCAAGCAAATATCTTCAGAAGATAAACTAGGGTAGGAAGAAGATTAAGGAATTTGGTTGTAAATGCTTCCATCTATTAGTTCCTGGTATAAAACTCCAGAAGACCTAAGAACATCTTATTGTCAAATATATATAATATTAAAAGTTATTGAATAATGTGATATGATTTATTTTTAGAGGAGTAATGCAAATGTAGTTCCTTTTTACATGGACCCCTTGATTTGAGGATTCCAAGAGGAAATTCCAGAGCTAGGATTTGGAAAAGATAAAAAGAGCTTAAGAAGATCAGATAAACTTCAAAGTTGCTGAGAGACTAGATTTTAATTGTTCTCAGGACAAAGTTATACACCTTAAAAATATATAATTTTTGTTTGTCAATTTTACCTCAGTAAAGGTGGGGGGCGGGGGAGAAGGACCTAAAGTTGTTTGTGTGGGAGTCAAAATTGCTCAAGCTCATCTCACAATAAAGAATCCCCCAAAAAAGGATTGCTCTAGAAGATTCTAAGTGGGTATCAAAGTTACCTGGTCAAAACATTTGGGTGAAGACCCATAAATCATCTGGCCTAAATAATCTAGATAATGAATTAATCTAATAATTCTTTATTTTCCAGCTCAGTTTGCCAGTGTCCTTCTGGCCAAAGGGGGTCCTGAAGCGAGAGAAACAAGGGTAAAGTGAAGACCACAGAGAGAGACCACCGGCTCTGGGAAGCCCTGAGGCTATGCGGGTGCTAAAGTAGAAGATGTGGCCACATGGAAGTAAGCTGGGCCCTCTGAGGACCCCTGCACTGCGACTGTGGTGACCCGTCCTCTCTACGGGGACAGAAGGGACAGCAACTCTGAGATGTGTGAGCAGGAGGCTCGGGTGCCCTGCTGGCTTCGCCACCGACTTTAAGAGGGTAGGAATTTGTCGTCTATTGAAATCTCATCCCTTCTTTGAATTTCAAACTCTGTCTTCATCAGAAAACCTTCCCTAAGTCAGCCTGTATGATTTATAGTCAGTTTGCTGCAATTTAATACCTTAATAAATTACGCCCTTACATTATCACCTTACTAGGTTGTAAATGTCTTCAGGGCCCAAATCACGTTTTGGGTTTTCAAGTGCCCACGATGCCCGGGGTCGGGTGGAGGCCGCAGTGCGTGGCCGACGGGTGAGTGTCTGACGGTGGAGTTGGAGGGAGAAGCCGCCAGGCTCCCGACGTTTCCAAGCTTCTTTCCAGCTGGGAGCAGGAACGCCAGAGGCGCTGGGCCCTGTCCCCACACCCTCAAATCAGAGGGCCGGGGCTCACCTGGCCCGTGGTATATTTTCCTCCGGAGAGAGGCATCCTAAATGCAGGTTAGGTCCCACAGCCCCGTGAAGGACAACCGGGACAGCACAGCCCCTTGCAAGCCCCCTTGGGGACCAGGCCCTCCTCGGGCGCCTTGCCTTGCCTTGGCGAGCGCGTGGAGGGGCAGGTGGTGGGGTGGCAGGGCACCGGCAAGGGGGGGGCGACTCCACGCAGGGAGCCTGTGGAGGGATTTGCTGTGTCTCTTCTCCTCCCCCACCCCTCTTGCTTTGTCTTCTTTCTCCGTGTTCCTCTCTTTGTCCCCCTTTCCTGGTCCCCTTCTTCTGCATTTGTCTGGGAGGACCCTGGAGTGTTCTTTTGATCGACTCAATCTTTCTCTGGCACTTGAGTCCTGATTGGCTGAAGGACTTAGAGGGGGAGAAAAACTTTAATTAAGTAGATAATCTCTTCTTGGGAAGTTTGGCAGCTCCATTTCACCTCCCCTTAACTCTGTTGGGATCGCTTACACACCAAGGAGTTGGGGTGCGAGGAGGATACTTCCCACCTCACCACTGTCTCCCAAGTTTTTAGGATTCTCCCTGTCGCTCCAGAGGATTATGTCGCTTATGAAGCCTTCTGTGTGCATCTTTCTTTTCACCTGTGCCCTCCAGCTCAGCCATAGCTGGTAAGTAACCTGGGACTTAGCGCGAGGCCAGTGCCTGTGCCGTAGGGGAGAGCGCTCGCTCTCATTTCCAGGAGTGTAGGACGCCTCGGGATCTCTCCCAGGAAAGCCTTCCCAGGGAGCAGGGCTCTCCGAATTTATGGCTGATTTCAGTACATCTTCAGGCTCCTACCAATTAAAGAATTAAAAGGTGGGGGGTTCCTATTTTGCTAAATTGCTATATCACAAATATTCTAAGTGGCTTAGGGGGAAAGATAGTAGCCCTCCCCCCCCCTTTTTTTTTTTTACCAAACCCTGATTCCAGCATTATGGAGAAGAAGGTGCTCCAAAGCAAGTTCTACTGCATGTTGCATCTGATCTTTGAGGTGAAGACAAAAGTTCAGTGGGATCTTATTTTGCACTGTCTGACTTTAATGTTTTCCGAATATTCTAAGTAACAGCTCATATCGTCACTTCCTGAGATTAGAAATTAACTTGAGCTACTGAGTTGGTACTGGGCTAACAAACATGTTTGAAATAAAATATTTAGAAATCTAAACTTTTCCACAAATTTGTTTAATTTATCCAGGTTACAAACTTTTCTAAATTGCTCAGCGAATGAGATGACGTGTGTTAAAGTGCTTTGTAAACTATCAACCACTGCACAAATGATAGGTGATACGATCATCATTTGCTCCTAGCTCTTGGGAACCACATAAAGTATCTATACATGGGAAAGTTAATAAGCGAGTACACAGTAACCTGCAGACGTAAGATCTAGGAAATGCATGTTGCTCGGGTGTTGGGGCTTTTTCCTCAGTTAAGATCTAAGCTCAGTCTCTCTATCAGTTTTCATTTTGACCGTCTATTTAACCAAGATACGAATCTAACTGCTACATAAGCTGTTGAGGAAGCAAAAATAGGAATTTCTTTGCTGAAATTAGCTTCTTGGGCTAATTGAGAGTGCATTCTTATTATAAATGAGTATAGCCATCTTTATTAGAGAGTTGATAAGATGTATGCCAAATTGATACAACTGTTTGCCAGTTAATGCAATAATTTGCAACATTTCTGATTATATACTGAACCACCAAATAATTGGTCCGTTTTAAATTGGTATTTCAATTAAATATTTCTTGTTCAAAAAAATCTTTCTTCTCTGTCTCCCTCGTGAGAACAAAAAGACAAAGGGAGCGTTTTTATTTCAGAGCATTTCTCCTGATGGCCATGGTGTTCTTCAGCTGATTCAGTATCAGCAAAAGAGAAACACGAGATTCCTTCCCCCAGTCACCAGGGCAGTGTGAGGAATTGTTCTATAAAAAATACCTTTACTGTGTGTCCCTTCCCTGCTGGAGGGGTCATGTTCATTTCATTCTGATACTGACACAGCCACACTGAAAGGTGGCCGGGTTGCTTGTCTGTCCAAATTCAAGTGTCTGGATTCAAAAAGAAAGAAGAAAAAAGACATGTGAAAGGAAGTTCTAATTTAAAAACAGGCTTTAGGAGCCCCTCCTCGCCTTGCCTGACTTTGAGGAGAAAATATACAAATCTGTATAATGCGATTAGATTTTAATTGCCTTTCCCCCCATAAGCCCCAATTTGAATGAAATATTTATACTTTGCCAAGGGTTTGGTGGGTTTGGTAGCATTTGAAACGTGATTTTTAAATTTCGCATTCACTCTTGATGATTCTTATAATGGAATTATCAGGGTTTTGCGTGAGGTCATCTCTCCCTTTGTGCCACACCGAGAAATTTGGCCAACCGCAGGCTTTCAGATGTTTCTCTTAGCGCTTCATTATCATTAACCTTTTATGTGAGGACCTCAAAAGCATTTAACAAATAGAGAACCACAATTTCTGCTTGGCTGTTCAGTTGTGGGCTCGCCTGAAATTACTGTCAAAAAGAGCCCATCGGCAGAAATTTCTGGGCTTGAAAGGAAAGAATGAAATGACATGTGCCTCCGATGTGCAGTTTCACTAGGGCGCTCTGCAAAATAACAGGGGGAAAGCGTTCTCCACGGTTTGCTCTTGTTGGGACCCTTTGGAAAGAATTATCCTTTAGAAACTTGAGAAAAATCTTTTTTTTAATTTGTTTTCTTAATTCTTAATGGTATCCCCCCCCCCCCAAAAAAAGAAAAGAGTATGGGAAAGCACAATACAGCCGAGCAAGTGGTGACGCCTATAATGGTGGCCAGAGATGGACCAATCTGACTTTCTACTTCCAACACATTGACTCATCTGGAATGAATGGCCCTGGAACAGGTTTTTCCTCAACTGTTGCCTTCATGTGACTCCAAATGATGTCTCATATGATACTGGGTCTTTCCAGTTCTGTCCATTTCTCTGTCTCTCTCTCTCCTCAACTCAGTCACCGAATCGGAAAGACGCACCGGGGAACAGGTTTCCATGGCTTGGCTCACTTTCTTTACAGAGATCACTACCTTTGCTCTTTTCCAAAGGACTTAAGGTCGGTTTCTTTTCTGCAGTAGAGCAAGACTTTATCTGAAATCTTCATGTTTTAAAGCAGTTTTTGAAATACATCATCCCATGGTCCTCTACATGTACGTTTTTAGAGTAACCCGTCTGTGGCTCCCGAAATTTCATCTGATGATGATGACATGCAAAACCCCTGATCAGAAAGCCCTCGGTTATGGGGGGGGGGGTCTTT